ACAAGAAGCGCTTACCCGAGACATGTGCGTGAACCACCAAGGAAACTTAGACTGTAAAGTGATCCTTTAGGCATCAGTTCTCGAGGACAATTGTGAATCCACCAACAGGTTCGCATAAGGACCGACAGCCTCTCCTTGGTACGGTGTACCTTCAATCCACCGGGAGGGCTTGAACTCATGAGCATCTTCGCCCCATCGTGACTCGAGCCTGTGGATAAGATCGATGCGGGAGCGAAAGACAACTGTCGAAGAAACCTTTGGTAGGACGCGAGCGCCAGCGTCACGAGCTGCCCCTTCTGAACAGGTATCTCGCTGACGCGCTCCCCCGTGGCGGTGATGATGCTTTCCGCGAGTGGAATCACCGTATCCCGGACAGCAACGCGGTCCACTATTGGCGCCGCAGGGTAAACACGGAGGACTTCCTATGTAACAATATTCAAATAAGTTCCCGCAGAATCCTGGGCCCCCACCTTTATAAAGGCATTCAACAATGGCATGTTATCGTACGCGACGTTGCCGCGCCCGCCTCCTAGGGTGGAGTGAATCTCGGCGCGTAGCTTTTCTTGAAACTCCGGGTGCGTAGCGAGTTCGAGCAGCGCGAACGCCAACGTATTAGTCTGCGAAGCGGAAGTGATTAATCGCAGGACTAATCGCAGGACTGCTCAGCAATGAACGACTCACGGTAGTATCTTGCCCAGCAATAAGAATGACTGCAGTCTGGGCCGCGACCTCCTCATCGCTCAAGACCTTCCCCGTCTTCTCCGATTCATCTGGATTCACTGTTGAAGGAGCACCGTCAGGTAAACATACAGCGATGCTGAGAATATAATGAGACGCACGGAGAAGACTGTACACATCGGTGTTCATTTCCAGCCCCTGTTTTGCTGCCTGCAGCTTCTCGCGCACGATCTGATCCCCGAGCTGTTTTGAACCGTACTTTGCCTTGCGGAGGGCTTTGAAGGCAACTGTGGGGAGGTAGATCGCTGTGCGCGACAGCCAGACCGGAAGCCGAGCAGCGATGGCGTCAGCGAGAATCTGAGCCGCGGATTGAGTAGATGAAATTGCACTCGCCACCAATTCAGGATGCATGGTTTGTCTGTGTGCTATGGGATGACTTACAGAATGCGGGTATTATTCGTTACGAAGTCCTCGCCCAGCTGGTCGATAGAATATCCAAGCGCGGCTATAAATACATTAGACGACGGGAACCGAAGAATTATCGGGCACCATACCTTCGCACACTGCGCTCAGAGTGGCGGTACCGAGGAGTGAACACATATCAATCGATGTCGGGGAGGAACTTTCCAACCGTGCAGTTATCTGTGAGCAGAGGAATCCGCGTTATGGAGGCGGGTTGTATTCGGGGAATACACTCACTGTCTGTGCCACACTTTCAAACACTGGTTGATAACTACGTACCGCAGAAGTGCTGAATCCGGGGTTCAACGCAACACGGAGCCGCCGGTGAGCCTCCCCTAACAGAGAATGAATGGTGGCAAATGGAGATCCCATGACGATGGCCCACCTTTAACAACAATAACACTGTCCGTCCCGCATAGCAAGTCGAACATAAGTTCCAACAGCGGTGAATGTTCAAAATTCGGAGTGTTCAGGATGTATTGGAGTGCCAGTGGATCTGCCACCATCAGGCGGTCCTGCTATTAGGCGATTCAGCAATATAAAAAAAGAATAGGGCGAACTAACCCCGAAACACCCCTTCAGTCGGTATATGGGGCCATATAACTTCTGCCACTTGAATTCGTGCTCGCCGTAGACCGGCGCGAGCAACAGTTGCAGCATGTTGCCTTAAAAAGCATGGTGTTCAATACTTGCAGACCGGAAATGATTCAGAAGACAGACCGAAGATCCACGATGGAGATGGCGGCCCCAATATATTTCGGACAGTACTGCGCCGTCGGAAGACGGAATACAATACCAAGGCAATAGCAACAGTTGCAGACGTAGCGCTGTAGTTTATCATGGCTTTTGACTATATCCTAGGGAGATAGATGGGGGAGACCAATGTGAAGTGTGAGAAGCAAGCGAGCGGCAGTTTAAGTGTAGCAGAATCATCAGGTGGAGACCCGCGTGATCCGCGTGATCCCCTTCCAGAGGAGCTTGCGGGAAATGGATGCTGTCAGGCCGTAATTGTGCGTCCAATGGGAAGCAGGTGGCTCGCGAAGAAAGTCCGGATACAGTTCCATAGTTAGTTCAAGGTGAATTACGACACATCGGATCGGGAGCAGAGGCCGCAGCGATATCAAAGGAAGAGTTATCTGAGCGAGAGAGATGAGGACTGCAGAAGAGATACAAGCAACGCTCCGTGCAACAATTTTACTAGAGTACGAACCAGGTTAGGTGCTCGCTAGGGTTAGGTTAACCTATTAGACAATTTAATCAACCGTGATAAGACCACTCCACGGTCCGAGCGTCTCTACAGGACGAATTAGAGGACTAGTCGTGGTGATATGAAGCCCACGTTCTCGGAAAGGTCGGAGAAGCGTCTCCGGAATATTTGGCGTGAATTTTGCGTACCGGACGTCGAGGTGCGAGAAATGAGCGGTGCATTCCAACCGTCGCTGAGTGAACCTGAGAAGATCTAGTTCTGTATCGCGGGGGGGACTCCACCGCCGAATCCGGAGCTCCTCCAGCTGCGGGCACATGGGCAGGGACCCGTTTTCGGGGGTGAGAAGCACAAGCTGTTCGTCTACATTAGCCAGGGGGGCACCGCGTGCGTCCTTCGAGCCGTCCATAGTGAGAGTTTGTAAGTGGAGAAGTATACGGAGATTATCAGAGAGGCAGGCGAGCGTAAGGCCTTTCAGACTGATGGCAGGGGAGAGGAGGGCTTTGTGTGACTTGGCACTGTGATCCACCAGCTGCTCGCGCTGGGAGGAGAGATCACAATGAGCGACTCGAGGCGGAGGAGTTCCTGGGAAGGGGATGCCAGCTGCGTCCGGATGCACTCTACTTCAAAGTCGGTTGGCACATAGTTGGTGTGGAGTTGCTGGTAAAATGGGGACTCCATTGGAAACCTTGGAATGGGAACTCAACGGTGAGGTAGATTAGGGAGGGATATGGTTTTCGTGGTAGGGCCACTTACAAAGTCGCAGTGCCGCCAAAGTGCAGCCTTCAAGCGGCCCGTAATAATACCTAGTAAACGGTTTCGCGTCTCGGATCACAAAGAGACCAATTTAACAACGGGGATAAGGGGAATATGAGCTCTGGTGCCGCTGGAGTGGGAGGAAAGAGCAAGTTGTATAAGCGGTGTCAATTCTCCCGTGGCTCGGCAGTCGGCTCGATAATGCCGACGGCAAAAGCCGAGGTCAATTTCTTCGTTGAAAACTTACAAGGATATCTATCTACGTCGAGAGTAGGATGTAAACATCCCCGATAGACATAAAGAGAAGCGTACATAATAAAGCAATCCATCTAAATCACGCCACCTGGGAGTTTACTTTCCAGCTACGTATGCATTGCCTTGTGCTCTCTCAGCTCTGCATATAATTATTTAGTTTCTTCCTGGATTTGAATCTGTCCTGGTGTCTCCGTATTTAGGGTTAGGATATTACTATTATGCATGAGGTTGATGCAACCCATTCCCCGGACTTCCGGGAACTTGAAGCTAAATCTTCGCGTACGCGCATTCTCTATCCCCTAAGTTATTTGGTTACTACTTCCATGCGCGTCGGATCAGGTGCATCTTAGAGTGCTTGAAGTGGAATTATTTTGAATCCATCATGGTAACACTGCTCTCATCATTCAAGTCGTGCAACTTGAGATGCCAATATGGAAGCACCCTGCTGTCCGCTATCCAGCTTACAAAAATTTCTGCCTTCGATGCTGCAACCTGTCTCAGAAACCAACACGAGGCACAGCCAGACGACAAGGCCAATCGGAGCCACCCCCAGAGCTAATAACAGCCTCTGTACATATAAAGGTTTTGCGGGCCGGTCAGTACGACCCTGAAATCTTTGCTAGATTCATAATTGCTTCAAATGATCTATGGGAAGATGAAACCCGTGCCTCACATTTGACAATCCAACAATAAAATCAGCTTTAAATCAGGAACATTGTGCCACCCTCATCCTCTTATCAAAGGGGCTTACCTTGGGCCGAAAAAGTACGACAATGATACAAATATCCACGCCGAGTAACGGGATCCTTGAGCCCAAGGGTGCAGGAAAGAGCTGTTAAACCAATGGTCCAAGGTCACGATCGAACGGGAGACTTTCTGCTACTCCGCAATGAATCCACTATCGGATCGGGGTATTAACTCGGTTGGTGCTTGAATTACGTGGAAGGAGTGAAGGTCTTATAATATTATTATCTGCATGCTTACCTCCGTCGCGCAGAATCATCAGACTCACTTTGCTCAGAAACAAAGCGTAAATAGCAGGCAGAATAGCGGGACTCCGGAAACTTTAGCTAGAGTAAAAAGGACGTCGGAATTTACTAATGGACTCAGGCCCGAATCGAACGGGCAACCTTCCTTTCCTGCGTGTCGAAGATTCCGTGAGGGCAGACACGGACCATCCGCCACTGGGTCGGTGCTGAGAATTGTTGGTACTTGAACTTAAATGCAAGCAATCAGGAATGCTTGGAGTTGAGTTCAAGCTGATCATTTCTCCCGGAGAGCGGAAAGAGACGCACCTTTTGCAGGCTTTTGCAGGCTTTCGGAAATGTATCATGAACAGCCGCTCGCAATAGTGAGTCTTCACAGATCGAGGAGGCAAAAACGGGAGAGATCCCAATTATTTTGCAGGGAGGCAGAAGCGGCCTGGACCGTCCGTCACGGCGGCGATATTAATTCTGATTGGTACTGCGACCATTTATTGTAGCTTGATGATCATGCTCTACGTCGAGAAGGATTATGAGTATCAGACCTATCTCCAGGAATTTGAAGTTGTAAATAAAGAGGATGAACAGCTAGGCCGAATAACAAGAGTTGTGACCACAGAGCCACAGAGGGCAGTAAAAAAAACTCCCTCGTACGCCAACTAGGGCCCAGGCCCGAGTCGAACGGGCGACCTTCTGCTGTACCATACAAGAATCGTCATTCAAGAACGGCAGACGCGGACCATCCACTACTGGGTCGGTGGTGTGCCTGAGGTAGCCGGAGCTACGCAGTACTGTGCTGCATGCAGCACAATGAGCGAGTCGTGGGCCACTGGGAACTCTGTGTGACTGAGATCTGTTGAGCTGGTAAGCGCGATGCGGGTTTTGACAGCAGATATGAGCGAAGACGAGAACGAGACAGGAGCCACAGAAAGCACCATGATTGAAGAGAACAAGAGGCAGTCGTGTTTGCATCAGAGGTGGCAGCCAAATTGATGTAAAATTGATGGCCGTCTTTCTTTCGTCCACAAGTCCACCACCAGCTTCTTGATCTCTTCAACTCCGACTGGCGCGCAATGGTCCTAACAGCATCCGCCCCCACGTGAATCATCACACGGACGAGTGGTCACGACTCGGTGCTCCGCCGACCAAGCAGACGCGCCAAAGGCGCGCGCGGCGTGCGGCTTGCCACTCGCGCCTCGAGAGTCGATTGTACCGACCGAGGAATAAATACACATTACATCGCAGTGGGAGATGCTGAGCGCGCCGTTCGTCCATCCACCATATCCGTTTCGTGTCCCGCCTTTTCTCGGTGTATTCCTACGCGCGTTGCGCCGCGCCGCATGCACCGGACTCGGACTCAGCAATCCCTGTACGGAGTCGATGTCCTGCACATTCCTCCTGGACTCGCCCTCCCCAGCGCCACCATCTGCTTCATCTTCGTCATCAGACTCGTCCCGACGCATGTCTAGTATTCCGCACCAGTTCCGCCTCCTGGCTGTATCCGAGGGACTCTGACATGTGCCGTATGAGGCTCACATCCGACTCGCCGGTGTGTGCATCCTCCGAATCCGTTTCACGCCCCGCGCTGATGCTTTTGCCAATAGGTGATCTCAGCCAGCACCATCCGCGGAACCAAGCCAATGTCTCGGATCCGCATCCCGACCTCTCTTCCGGATTCCAGCACCAATCCAGCTCTGTCTTCCCCTGCGGACTAATTCACTGCATGTGGAAGTACGTTCTTCTGCGCCCTTACCCCCGCCTTCATTCTATAGCTATCGTCGCAGATTCGCGCCGCAGCTACGCAGGTCCCTCATGTGCGCAGGACCATTCAACACATCATGCCGCGCCGATCCTGGGGTATTCACCCCCATCCACACGCGGCTGAGAGACTAAGGAGTTCGCCGTCATAGAACGCCGCGTCAACCCGCCCCGCACGTGCGTACCCTGTTATCTACACGGCCACTACAGATTTGAGACGCGATGAATAGCCTTTTTCCACAGGAGCCACGGAACTCTCCGTGACGTTTCAGAGTTCAGACGTGCGCATGCAGATGTGCTTTTCCGAATTCCAGCCGCGCTCCAACTCCCAGACACGTGCACGCTTCCAGTAAGCCGCGCTTCACAATCCATTTGTGCGCGCCGCGTCAAATGGAGCTTCCTGATGTGGTGGGCTGATACGATAGGCCAGTTGAGACCTCAAATTGGTTTTTCCATCATCTCTTCGCTGAACATCTTTTATCGCCATACAGACCCAGGGACTTGCTCTTCAGGCTATCTAATGTATTCCGCTCGAAGTCAAGGATATGAACTCGGACGTGGTGCACGGTGCACGCTCGCGTACTGTTACTGATTTCCATGCCTAGAAGCGGGAGCCTGGGTTCGATTCCCAGCGTCCGAATGACGCGATTCATTGTTGCTTTTTTCTTGCTTCTTATTTCCCATGTGAGCCTCCCATTCCCTTCTACCGAATACCATTGCTAAACGTCGTTTATCGATGAGGACATGCTGCATGTATTCCGCTTCAAATCAGGGATAGCGTCTCGGACGTGGTGCATGGTGCACGCCCGCATACTGTTGATTGTTGCCTGCATCGAGGCGGAACCATGGGTTCGATTCCCAGCGTCCGAATTTATCTTCTACATTGTATCCTAACCCAGAGTTTTCCATGCTAAATCCAATTTCGGGTCACCCTCACCCGATTGGGGTCGAAGTACATTTATTGCTTCAACCCATGCTATAGATTCAGCTCGAAGAAGAGGGTATGAACTCGGACGTGGTGTATCACCGTGTATGGCGTACGCCCGCAAGGGTTATAAAGACGATGGTCGACTATGTGCGGCGGGAAGGCTGGGTTCGACTCCCGACGTCCGAATTCTGGGATTTACCCGATTTTTTTTACAATTGGTCGTGGCTGCCATTTATGAGGTGGGTCCGTGGCCACGGTTTAGTTTACCTTACCCTTATACGCTTGCGTCTGTATCGCAGAAACCCATTTAAGCATCGCGGTTCTCTCGAAGCATGGAATATCGCCCGACACCTGACGCAATTGAAATGTCGTGCAGCGGCAGAAAGTATAAAAATTCCACAATGCTGCAGCCCGCGGGAGTGGATACGCCGGTAGACGAGGCAGGAACATTGGATTTATTGGACACTGGTACGTCAAAAATACATGCCTCAAGAAGAAGAAAAAGACTCACCCGATATCGTTACTCCCATGCCATCACCGGAATCTAAGTCGTCCACGTCCTCGTCGTCGTTGACCACCACTCCATAATCTGACAATCAATACTAAGCTTGCCTCCGTCGTGGCATCGTTCAAGCCTCCCACGATCCCGGCATCGGCGGAGGTTTTTTGGGTTGATCTACGTGACTCGTGCTCTGCATTTTCTTCCATATTTTGTTCTCACTCAGTGGCCGGCACGTCCCATCACCATCTCGTGGGATTGATCACCCCGCTTGGTCCCGGTTTCCCTCTCTATCATTTTCTCTTTCTCCTCTCTTTTCGACCCTGCACGACCGACTAATCAGGACCCCAAAAGTCATTAAAAGCCTCAAAACATGCAGAAATGATCAAACGCAGATTTCGGAAAGGCGGGAACGGGGCGTGGGCAACGGACACTGTGGACTAACAAGGAAATCCATAAAATATTGTCGCTCGCGAGGGATCTCTCTTCATAAGGTTCCTTACTTCTGTGTTCGTTCTTTTGTGCTCGCTTCTCGATTCGTGTTTCTGCATGTCCTGAATTCATCCGTTGATGCTGAACACAACCGCTGAAAGAGAGAGAGAAATTGAGTCCAACTTACACGGAATTACTACTTTACCTTGCAAAAACCCATCTCGAACGTGTATATATGAGGTAAATATTACAACACTGAGCTGGCTAATTCCCATTGTCCTTGACCTTTTCAATGAGAACACTCATTGTCTCTGCATCATCCGATTTTCCCAGCTTCTCGTAAGTCTCCTTCAAACGCTCCATTGTGACGAGAGTGTTTCGATGGGCCTCACCCAAGATTTTCTTCCGCTTTTCAAACACAACAACTCCGAGCTCCTCTGAGTCCGTGTACCGGCCTAGTTGGTGATATGTCCATGCCAGATTCCCTATTGCTCTGAGCGTATCTGGATGATCTCGTCCCAGGATTTCTGTCCGCTTCTCAAGCACAACAACCTCAAGCTCCACTGCCTCCTTCAATTTGCCTATATTCCGGTATGTAACTGCCAGATTCCCCATGGCTGTCAAGGTATCTGGATGCTCATCGCCGAGGATTTTCTTTCGCTGTTCAAGTACCACATTTTCAAGCTCCGCTGCCTCCTTCAATTTACCTATATTCCGATAGGTAGCTGCCAGATTCCCCATGGCTGTCAAGGTATCCGGATGCTCGTTGCCGAGGATTTGCTTTTGCTTTTCAAGTACCACATTTTCAAGCTCCTCCGCATCCTTGAATCGGTCATGATTATAATATGTGCTTGCCAATTGTGCCATATCCAGGACAGTGTCTAGATGGTCTTCACCCAAAATTGTTCTTTGCTTCTCAAGAACATGAATTTCGAGCACCTCAGCTTCATTGAACTGACCCAGTTCCATGCGTGTCCATGCCAGACTCGTCATAGCCTATAGAGTCTGTACATGATCCTCCCCAAAAATTCTCTTCCGCTGTTCAAGCACCATAACTCCAAGCTCTTCTGCTTCGCTTAACCGGCGCTGCGCATGATATGTCCATGCAAGATTTCCCATGGTGATCAGAGTGTCTGGATGGTATTCTCGATGGATTTTTGTTTGCTTCTGAAGAATAACAACCTCAAGCTCTTCTGCTTCCTTGAATTGGCCCATGGATTGGTATGTGTGGACGAGATTCCCCATGGCTCCAAGTGTTTGTGCATGATCTTCACCCAAGATTCCTTTCCGCTTCTGGAGCACTGTAATTCCAAGCTCCTCTGCCTCCTTGAATCGGCCTTGCTGATGATATTTCCAGGCAAGATTCCCTGCAGTAATCAGAGTGCCTGGATCATCTTCTCCAGAAATTTTCGTTTTCTTTTGCAGGACAGTAACTTCAAGCTCTTCTGCCTTCTGATATTGACCTAGATTACTATATGTGGTCGCAAGATTCCCCATGGCTGTCAAGGTATCTGCATGATCTTCACCCAAAAGTTTCATGCGCTTTTCAAGCACAAAACATCCAAGCTTCTCTGCATCCTTCCAGCGACTCAACTCGTCATCTGTGATTGCAAGATTCCCCATGGCAATCAGGGTGTCTGGATGGTCTTCTCCATCAATCTCTTGTTGCTTGTGATGAATGGCAACCTCAAGCTTCTCAGCCTCCTTCAGTTGACCGAGTTTTGTGTGTGTTGATGCCAGATTCCGCATGGCTCCCAGGGTGTCTCGATGATTCTCACCCAAGATTTTCTTCCGCTTCTCAAGGACCTCAAGTCCAAGCTCTTTTGCCTCTGTCAGGTGGCCCAGTGCAGAGTAGGTGTATGCCAGATTGCTCATCACAGTCAGGGTCACTGGATTATCGTCTCCTAGAACCACCTTGTTCTTCTGAAAGACAACACATAGAAGTTTCTCTGCCTCCTGAAATTGACCTAAGCCTATGTATATGAGTGCTAGAGTATTCATAGCTGCCAGAATGTTGGGATGGTCTTCCCCTAGAAGTGCCTTTCCCTTCTGAATGACAACAACCTGAAGGCTCTCAGCCTCTTTTGATCGGCCGCCCAGCTGGGTATATGTGGTCGCCAGATGATGCATAACAAGCAAAGTGCCTGGATCATCCTCACCCAATATTCTTTTTCGTTTCTCAAGTGCTGTGACCAAGAGCTTCTCTGCCTTCTTTGCTCTGCTTGAATAGTAGTACAATACACCATATTCCAATTCAAAGCCTAGGGGTACCTGTGTTTCATCAGACACTAGGGAATCCACATCTATATAAGAATCGACCACCGTTGACTATGCTCAAACCTGATTGGCCAGTTGACTCGAGTCAACCGTTTTCGGTAGTGCGCCAGCGTTCAATGAGATCATTTGCTCCATAATTCCACCCAATTGTTGAGTTCTCCACCAAACTGTTGAGATTCCATTTATAAAATGTCGAGATGTTGAATCGGTGCGGAGTCCGCCGCACCACAACATTGGACACCGTTTCGCTTCTTCTCTGCGCTCGGCTATATGTACAGCTCCACAGGTCACCGGTGGAGCAGTGGGGCCAGACTTCATCCGCAGTACCCCACTGCCAAGTGAAACAACTCCCCAATGGCACTCCTTTTCAGCCCGCACTCTGGTCCACCTAGCCTTTTGGCCCCGGGATCTGTTTGTCTCGAGTCTAGCTGGCTCAAAAGGTCGATTATCTTGCTCCTTTTGATGCCGTCTCGGTTGACCAAGTGACTGTGCACTCAGGCCCGGCAGAGCACACGTAGCAGTGGGGATGGGAACATTTTCATTTTTCATCGGTATTGTGCGGGACACGGCACGTTGCATCTGACGACCACGATGCTGATGTCTTTGAGGTGTAGTTGATGGTGGCAAATCCCTGACATACTCAAATTTATGGGGTGTCAAGGCAGTACAATGTCAACACTTACATTGTTCAAAAGGTAAGCAGGTTACAGTTTGGTGAAAGTAGTATTGTAAACCCTGTACTGCCCTTTATAATCATAGCGCTAAGCTCAGTTAAAGTCCTTCAAAATCTCCGAGACATTGTCTGGATCTCATCCCCGTAGCGAAGCACGGGTTACTGCTAGTGAGGGGATAACTGAATAGCGAGCTCACCCTCTTCAGGGTCAACAGCTGTGATAAGCATTCCCACTAAAGCTTTCATACACTGTCAAGAAATTCAGGTGGTAATTGAGATCTGATATATTGACAATGCCGGCAGCAAGTGAGCCACAAAGGCACCATTCCAGAAGGATGAGAGGATTGATGCTAAAAGCATTGAAACGAAAAGGATTGATGCGTGCCTCGCATTTACCCAGTCTTTGAGCTAGGGCACAGCCTTGCTAGGCTACCTTCCACGGCGGGGACAGCTCGACAGACTGGGTTTAATGGGAAAGTTAGGCCAAAGAGTGTGTATCAGTACCAAAGGGGAGCAAGGAAGCGCCGCGGAGGTGGACTGGAGGCGGGTTGGAGTGGCTCAGGCTGGCGGCTGGCACGTCTATGGTCTGGGATACTGTACCATCTCGACCAAAGGTTCACGTGACGGGTGACGGAGGGTCATGAAAGAGGCCTGTGCGCTGTTGTGCCACGTGTGCGAAAATCGCCTTTCCCTCACTGCGTCCGACCTCATGTCCCCCAGCCGCCCGACCAGCGGAATATCCAGCTCTCCAACGAGTGCAACCTCGCAGTCGAATTCAGACTGGGTTGGTAGATCACTCTTGACTGCAAAGACCATTGTGGCCGGAGCGGA